AGTATTGCAATTACAGAAATGAATGGCACTTTCCTGATAGTGATATTGCACTATTTTGTGGCATAAATGTTGAAAGTGTAAATACCAGCTTTGCTGAGGAAACTAGATTATTGAGAAGTACACCTGTACTAGTAGCAACATGTTGAAAATAGTTCTGAAGGTCGCTGTGTATGACTTTATTAATATTCATCCTGGTGTCTGATTAGGTGCTGTATGCATATAAATGTACATGCTATATACAACTATTACAGCATGTAGGGATTCACCTATGTGTGAAAGTTAAAGAAAAAACATTTAGCATAGTCAAGTCTTGTTTGTAACATTTCACATATACAGAAACATGCATAAGAACTTACAAACAACTACATTTTGTAGAAGGCAGAAATATGTCTGTATCCCTCCCACAGTTCTGGCTGAATGACCTTGCATCTGTGCTGAATCTGAAGTTAGATGCTCCAGATTTGGATCCAACGTTCTACCAGCAGCCAGCAGGTAATGTTATCAGAATATCTGTATATAGATTATCAAAGATTATTTTGATACAGTCTTTATTTTATTGACTTATGTATTCAAACATTTTTAAAGAAGTGTGAAGACTAGCCAACTGCTGCCTGGCCATTTCTATCAGGAACCCCTTGAAAGACTGGATACTACTACTACTAACTACTAGTACTGTTCTAGAAACATAAAGTCATTCAACTCATATTCAAAAAGAGTAATCAACTCTTGTCTCAGTTATACAAAATCTTCCAAAGATGGCCTTCCAATACAACCTCTGTACATGTACATCTCTCCACAGACTATCCCCTGTCCATACTGCCCAAGCCTGTATACAGTGTCCTGTCGTCCACTGTAACCAGCTGCCCTCTCCAAATCCAGAATATCTTCTTTGAACACTGCCTTTACATGATGGTGAAGGAGATGACAAATGGTGAGGAGAATGTATTGTTAACGTACAGGCCTATAGCTGAATACAATGCGATTCATTGAGTTTCAAAAATAATTTACTGGGAGATGAGAAAAATGATCTTGACATGTATTCTTTTCTATGACGTGTCTGTGAGTGACGTGTCTGTCTCCCAGTATTGATGAAAAAAAAATCATGCTGAAGTTTATTGAAAATAGGGAATGCAGCACAGGTAGGATCTGATGGGGGTAGTGATAGACACTGATACTGTCTTACAAAACAGAGTTTGCACAAGGCTGTTTTCTTAATGTTGATGTTTTTTGTTTGTATTCAGGGACTCCAACATACGGTTACCGCATCTGTACACAGTTCCTAGCACAGACTAGACCTGAGGTCACAACAGCAAACCTACCCAAGGTACATGTACACTTTTTACTAGAAATTCTGTTTCAGTACATGGCATCTTCTTAAATTCAAGCAAAAAAACAGCTTTCCTTAAGTTTTAGATGCATAGAAAAACTAATTCCTCATTTCAATAAGAAGAGATTTCGAACTTTTGGAAGTCTTTGTTGAATAGTGTTATCAGTGGGGATTTACATGTATTTCATACATGTTTTGTATCCCACATAGTTTGCTGATTTACTAAAAACCACTGTGAACAGACCAAATGTCTGCCTGTCCATCATCTGGGCGCTCAGCCAATCAGGAAGCAAGGATTTAGCAATAGGGTTAACAGGTGGGTCCATTCTTGTAAATTTTTCTGTTTTGAATTCCTGAGTAATTTTTTTGTATTTGTATGTATATAAAAGTTTATAAGCCTTAAAGGTAACAATGAAATTAATGTTTAACACTTGAAATTAACTCCATCATCTTGAATCTTCATCAGTATGGTTGCAGCTGTTGCTGCCACACCTGGGCACAAAGAGCTTGTCCAGTTACATCATTGGGATTCTGGAAAACCTCTTCAAGTAAAAAAGACTTCTTCAATCTATTTCATTTTGTTGTTGGATTTTCAGTGTTTCTGGTGTGGCATTATGCTTGCCATTGAATGATAACCCATGTTGAACTTATTAGAACTTATTAATAAGTGATTTGCATTTTAAAGATACATGTACAGCCTTGTAAACTAACATGATGATGATTAAAAACTTCTACTGACATTGCCCACATCAACATTGTTCATGATTACCATTTGTTTTAACAGGAACCACAAAAAGACCAAGGCATCTCACAATTCCATTGGACCACATGAGTTCTTCCCTGTACTGGACTTTGTTTTCACTCCTAACACTGCACTTGCACAGAGGTATGACATGGCTTTCTGCTTATGCTACTTTGGGAGAGATTCAATGACAGAATTATTTTCATATTTAAATGAAAATGCTGCTATAAACTGTTCATATCTCAAGTCATAGTCTGTTTTGAGGATGTATACAGTCTAAATTTCATATTTTTTCTTACACTAGTTTACAACAGAGACTACAAGCAGTTTATCCTAAAATCAAGGTAACTCTGAGCCAAGTGGCTCTTGTGCTTTTTTGTTCATAACTTTTTTTGTTTTCTCTTGCCAAATAAAGTTCTTCAACTATAGCCGACATACATGTAGACTTTATTCTTGAAGAGTTACATAATATCACAGTAATATATATTTTTTTAATGGAGGCCTGTCTGATTTAAATTTTAAGCCACCAAACTGTACTTATGTATAACTGTATGTTGGTATACATGTATAACATTCCCTGCTTGGTTCACATACATTTCCCTTTCTTACTTTTTTGACAGGACCTTGCCCTGGGCCCATCAGCCAGCAAAACACCCTGCCAGTATTTCCCTTCACTGCTGGCCCGGGCTACTCCAAACTGTCCTCCTGCACTCAAGACAGAGGTAGGGCTTTGGATGTACTTTTACGTTGAAGCAGACTACAATGTATACTTAACGTACGTGTTCACCCTAGTTATTCTTTTATTATTATGCCCTAGTGAGTAGATCGCCTTTTTCACTACTGGTTGCATCCTCTCCCTCCACCAGCTTTTACCTTTCCTGGCTAGGTACCAGTTTACACTTGGGTAAAGTTAGGAAAGTCTTGTTAAGTGTCTCTCCGAAGGATGCAATGTCTAGCCAGCAATGGTATGGATCAAACCCACAAGCTCACGATCTCACCTCTGTTAGCCTAGGTACTCTACCATTGGACGTCAAAAGCCAGGTTATGCATCTACATGTAGCACAACTGATACATTTAGGTAAATGTATTCCAGACCCCTACATGTACATTCACATACTGATGCTGATCTTGGTCATCCCCTAAAAGTATCATCATCTTGTCTATGTCTTGTCCACAGATCATGGAGCTCCTGGTGCATTGTTTGACATCTGACCCCCAAAGCTTCAGCAACTGGAGACAGATGTACACCAAGCACCTCCTCCAGTCTGGGTAGGTAGAGTGGGTTGTGTTGAGTATTCTACACATAAGAGTAAATCAAACATGCATGTACCAACATTTATAGAATGAAGTAATCATGCATCTTACTTCTTTCCGTTAGCCGTAGTTTAGGCAGTAATGGCAGATATGATATTGGTTCTGTTTATTTTGGGTTTGTGCTCCACAAATGAAAATCAATGGAAGGGAGGCCGTGGTACCGTATCTCTTTACTGACTTAAGTATGTCTTATAATATTGATGTAACATTATCTTGCAGAGTTCTCATGAGGTACATGCTAGACAACTGGGATAAGGTCTCTAGAGTGGTGAGTTAAGATTTTCCATATTTACCATGATACCATACATACATACAATGCAAAATACTTCACATAATTCTGAAATCCCTGATTTCTTGTTATTCTTTGTATATTATCTATTTGTTCCTTTTTTGATACATGGTTTACTGTTGATTTGTTACAGCTCCCAGTGAAGTTTGTCCAGGAGACTGTTCTAGCATTCAGTATTACAAATGAAGAGATGGCAGCCCACACCCCAGGAAGGGAGGAGTGTCGGAGTGCATGCAAGGTGCAATATCCCAAGCTTCTTTTTCAGAAACTTGATTTTTGCCACTCTTAGTCTTACTAGTCATGAAAGCTCATGTTGCAAAGTGTATTGAATGAAGTAGACATCATAACAGTACAAAATTCTCAAGAGCCCCTCCACTATTTCCAGGAACTGTTGCTGAAGATGAAGAAACCAAAGTTCCCATGGGGACGGCTCATATTCACCATCCTATTGCTGGTTGTAGCAATCCTAGGGCTAGATATTTATACACATGGAAGTTTCCAAGGTAAGCTGAACATGTATAAAAGAGAAGTAATGTTTCTATGTTAGTTACTCTGGAATGTGCAACCAGTCTAGCAATACATTTAGCATATCACCAGTAACCAACAGTGCTGTTCCACCACGTGTCATATTATGTATTTGTTCTGCATAACCAGTAAACATGAAACACACCAGTTCTGTACAGGTACAGTAAAATACAAGCTGTGTAAGACCGGACTGTAAGGGTTGAATCACTAATACTTGAATGCTCCCCTACTATTTTCAATTGAAGTTTAACATGCTCTCCTTATATGGAACCTCCTGATTTATATCTCATACCTTTCCTTTAGCCTCCACCTCCCACCGTGTGCTGAAGGACTCTGGCCTACTGGCAGTGTCCCAACAAGCCTGGGTCAAGATTAGCTTCTACAGCAGGAAAGGCACTGACTGGGCCAGGGAGTGGGTGCCCTACTACTACAGCATGGTGGGAACTTTGGATAATGACTAACTGTTGGAAGTCTGTTTTGCCAGATTCTGTTAGATATATAGATTCATTCCCACATTATTTATGAGGTCACGCACATTGTTAATCTGGCATAGTTATTACATAGTAATGTTAATGGCTTAGTTACATGTAATAACCTTGTGTCAAAACCTATTGTGTCTCTTTCATTCTCTCTGCAAATCCAAACTTAACATAGCTTCGGTCTCTTTTGTCCTCTCTGTAAGAGACTCGGCAGCTACAATATGTTTGGATACCAAACTGCATTGTACCTTATGTGTAACAATTATGCCTTGCATGTAGGTAGCAGAGGTCATGGACCCTTACATCAAGCTGTTGTGGCAGAATTTGTACGACCTTGGCATGTGGATAGCTGAAGTGTCTGCACCTCTCAGGGCCTGGCTGGACAGGAAAGTTCCACTGGTCCTGGAGTGGGTACGTTTTCAATACATGTAGGTCTGGTAAAATTTGATTGTAAGAACCATAACATACATGTAGCAGGTGCTGGGTGTGTGTGAATGTGCAGTATGTGGAAGAATTCAGAATTGTGTATGTGGAATTACACATACTATACAGTACATGTGTTTTACACATACAGTACATGTGTTGACTACATGTACTGTATGTGTAACATGAATAGATTATGTATTAAATCCCCTCCACAGTTCCATTACATTGGCAAAAACCCAAAACATTTCCGGTTGGACTAAAATCTCCAATTTCTTATTGTACCTATTCAGATTGATGCCAAGGTCCCAGTTGTGGTGGCCACCATTACCCAGGTCATGTCCAAGGTTAATGTTGCTGCCCAGGAGTACTGGGCAGTCCTGAAGCCCCACGTCATGGTAGTGTGGACAGCCATGGTGGACAACGTCCAGGCTGTGGGCAGCTGGCTTGGGAAGAATGTCTTCACGTGAGTATTAGGAACAGTTTGTCACACTATAGGTGAGAAGTAATGGATGCTTGCAGAGACCAACTTCTCATTTGGACATGTTCAGTCATACTTGGCACAGAAGTATTGTTTTGGGTGACTGAGCCATGGGTCTGTGTCTGTATGTACAGAAAGAGCAGGTTGACAGCAGGCAGCTGGGGTAAGATTGACAGGCAGAATGACACTCACAGGTAAATAGATCAGACACAGACTAGTCCAGGGGGTAAATTAAAGGTCACAAAAACCCAACATACTTCCAGGAAGTCTGAAATGTCCAATTTCATTTTTTCAGACTACATTTTGGATTGATAACTATTACATGTAACAATAAAACTAACAACAATCATGGATGCCACAAATTCACAATTTTGACCTCTTAGGCTTCATACAATTTTTTAGAGGGAGGGAGCAGTCTGGTGTTACATATAGTCATTGCAACTGTAGACAAGAGATAGTCTACATGTAAGAGATGTATGTATGCAGAGAAGTGTATTTTGTTGTTCACTCCTACAGTGGAAAGCTGTCTCCTGAGGCCCTGCAGGCTTCCATGGTGATGGTCTGGGAGTATGTATGGACATCCAGCACTGCTGCCAAACAGTGGATCATGGACAAGTTTAGCACGTAATGAAAATGTTACCATCATCAGTGCAATCTCTTCACCTCATCCTGTGATAATTTGACTCCAAAATCTGGGTATGTTACGTAATGTAGAAAATTACTCTGCTCTGGCCATATATATAGTTAAGATATGAAGAAGAGTCCAAAACATCTGTATCAACACATGTACCATATGTGCTCATTTCCTCATATAATTTCAACCTGGTACTACATGTTCAGTGGCATTTTCCTTTATGACAGTCATGTCTAATTACAATTACATAGAATATAGATCAGTTTATTGTTTGGGTAAGATGGAATATTACTTTGATTCTTTAGATATCAGTGCTTTCAAATAGCAACATTTGAAAGAAAATACCTCCATTCTAAAACAGAATCTACCTGCCAGGTCAGTAGATAAACAGCAAAACACCCATACACACAGATTGCTCTGGCAGCTAAATTTTGTGACAAAGATAATTTAGCAGTAAGTCTGTAACAAAAAGGGAGCTAATGTCTTACATTGAAAGTGGAAGAAACATTGTGATATGTGCCAGGACTATGGTGTCTTGCTAATAAGTTAATGACATTTCTCATCAGTTAAAGATCTAGAATATTTTTTCCTTAGATATAATACATCTTCTCCATGACCCACATTATTAATACTAGGCAGAGAAACTATTTATGACAAAAGGTAAATTTTAAGTAAATGATAAGAGCATTGAGATATCCCACCGCATATTTGCTAAGATGAGCAATATTGTTGCTGTCAAATGTACAGGCTTTAGCACAAGTAAATTTCATTCCAAAATATGTGTCCGTTCTCGATAAGGGACACATAACTTTGTTGCTGTTTATTGAATTAGATGTAATTTTGCAAATGATAAAAAACAAAGGTAACTATTAGTTATTGTTCCAGTTGTTGCAAACCATGTAAGACACAACAATGTATAGCTTCTGTTTAATTACCCACCCATTGGCAGCCAGCAGACTACACAGTAATGTTTTACAACACAGATACATCATTACATATTAGGTAGTTTGAGACATAATGCTCTTCCATGTTCATTTATAATACATTGCATAATAATTATGTTTCTATGGTAAAACCTGATGTTTTTGCCACTTGAGAAAATGTATGCCGTACAAGCACAGTTTATGTAGACCGATCCCATACTCCCCTTCCATGGCATCAAATGTAGAAGTGCAAAATAAAAACATAAAAATAGAAATATCTGACGTGCATGCAGCCACTCTCTTGTCGGTTGAGCCGCTAAGTGACGCTCTCTCTTTCGTTGAGCTGCTTATTGTGATGGACAGTCAGGATTGGTCTGTTAGATGGTTCTTTATAACAAGGCTGCATAAAGCTAGCTAATTCAGTGCTGACACACAACAGGACTACATGTAATTTATTCCAAACTTTGTGAGGTGGAATTTATTAAAACATCAATGTAACATACATGAATGAGATAGCATTCCCTATTAGTGATGCATACCTAAACCCAATTTTAGGTTCAGGTCCGGATTCAAGTCCAGAGGTTTAGGTTCAGTTCCGGACTTGTAAGTCCGGACCTAAACCCATGGCATATACAAAATTGTATGTTGGCAACCTTGCAATGTTGTCTGGGTGAAATTGGCCACATAACATGGAGGCCGGTACTTGACGATGCCCGATGGCAATGTTTTCTTCATTTTGCAGCAAAGATTTTGCAATCTACGGAAGGTTTTAGGTGGTTTGGAAAGAAAAGGGGTATGTGAAATGGTCTTTTATGGTAGTAAGTCCGGACTCAGTTCTGGACTTTTAGTTTTTTTTTGGACTTGAACCTAAACATTCTTACAAGTCCGGATCCAAGTCCAGTGAACCGGTATGCATCACTATTCCCTATGTTGCTGTTAGTAGTGACCCGTGAAACTTATGAAAACCAATCAACAGCTTGCTCTTATGTTTGCATGTTGAGATACAATGAGGACAGCCATATTTTACACAATTGTAAATAAATTAATTCCTTTGGCTTGAATAGCTTAAGGTCTACCATAAGGATTGATGTTGAACAGTCATATAGAAGGTTACAGTCACATGACCAAATCCTGTTCTCTCATTGGCAAAATCACTAATTTTGATAGACAGTCAGGAATGGTTTATGGTTCTTTAGGAAGTGGGATGGTAAAAGCTGTGCATGTAATGAATGTGGTGTAAATAACACCCACCCAAACTGGTTTTGCAGCATGTGTGAAAAAACATATTACATGTCATACGGAGAAGAGAGAAATTGACAATTATGATGGTAACAATACCATGTATCTGTATCTTTATAGCCAGTATAACCTGCCCTTTGGCGTAACACACCAACTTTAAAGCATGTGATGCAGCAGCAGCTGCATATATTACACTGAAATGACCTGTGCAGGTCTATAACAATGTGCTGTAAACAATAAAGTACATCAGCATCTAGATTATGTCTGATTATTTTTGTCTTGCTAAATCCTTCATGGGAAAGATTACAATATTCTGTGAGTGATCTATTTGTCAGGAAAGAAGACTTTCTTGGTGTTGTTGTAAAGAACATCTGCTAAGTCTGTTACATCTTCATTCCTGGCTCCAGCCATCACCTCCAGAATCTGACTGAATTGGAAAGAAAAAAGATCTTTAGTTGTAAAGCATGGTACAGCTTGTTGCATCATCAAGTCATTGTGACCATGGATCCATGTATAGGTCAGCAATGTGTACATGTATGTATTCCATGTAGTCTATTCAATTTCAAATACTGAGTAAAGTTCATTTCTTTATGCGAGTTATTTTCAGCACCAAGGACAGGAGATGTTTTCAGCACCAAGGACAGATCTGAGTCTAATCATGGATGGAGATTACAGGCCACATACTCCTTACATGTGAATTGTGCTCATAAATACACTGTATAGCATGGTATAGCTTTTGTGTGACACTATTGGTCAGAAGACTAATGCTAGAAAGTCATCACCTATCCATGTCCAGCGTCCATGCTAGAAATTATCTCACAATATTTTAGAATAACAAAAAATAGTTACATGTCACAGTAGGACATTTGCACCTCAAACAACAAGACCTGCTATTGGTTTGAAATTTATATTCTTTTTCTTTCCCAGCAATTTGCCATATTCTCTTATTCCTTTACAATAGATTTTTAGTACTTACACAATATGACAAGGTTCATTCCTGCTCTTGACACAGTGTCCTTTCTCCCATTTTTCTTTCTTCTTTGTTGGAAAAGTTGTCTTGAGAAGCTTAGCACCTGCATGGCTTGGCCTCACCTCACACCAAGGTGCATCTGACAGAGCAATTAAGGTCAATACAACAAAGTCAATGTCCTTTTCAGTTAGTGTTTGGAAATGAAAAATAATGTAGTTACTTATGGGAGTATAGAAGTATTGTATTGGGTGGCTGAGGTATGGGTTTGTGTGTCTTGTCGAGTTGACAGCACATGGGGGAACTGGCAATCAAAAGATCAGACACAAGAAACTTGGTTAACTCGAGAGTGGGTGGACAGCGCTTGGATGGGGAAGATTAACAAGCAGAATGACAAGAGGTTATAAAGCCAGACACAGAAAATGAGGTGGACTCATAGGGGAAGATTTGTTATTCTGTGTATAGGACATTCAATTTGTTATACAGGTACAAAAAATGCATACATATACAAACCTGTTTCTATCATGAGTCTATCACTGGGAATTGAGCACATTGTTTCTAAGTTTTCTGCAGTCTTCAAAGAGCTGTAAGAGAAAAAAGAAAGTTTCTCCAGTACTAGTGTATGAAAATGTGCACATCAAAATGAGTTGGAGAATAAGTTGAAGAGTATAAAGAAATTGGTTCTTGTTATAACAGATTCTTACCAGCCATTTATTCCAATGTAAAGTCCCAGGTCTAAAATTCTCTGTGCATCCTCTTTGCTACCATCAAAAGAGTGAACCTGGAAAAAAATGACAGCATTATCTACTGTAAATAATCATTAAAAGGACAAACAAACTCCTGTTTATGTACATGTATCCTCCTTGCAACTTACCACACCTTGGGTGATCCTGTCTTTGTTTTTTGACAAGATATCTGAAATAACAACGTTAATAGTTATTAGTAAAAATAGTCATGCTTAAGGGAAGTGAGAAACATGTAGCAAGAGCATGGGTAGGGTCTGCATGGAGATAGAGATATTATTCTATAAAACACATGACATATAATTCACAACAAGTGGGATCCTACAAAAATCTAGTCATTGATAAATAATCTATTGGAAAATAACACCCATCTTCTTTAAATCAAAGTTTCAGACAGTTGGATATTTGCTTGCTGATGAACTCACCAACAAGATCTGAGGCAGCATTCCTACAGTGTAGGAACATCGGGAGCCTGGTTCTTTCCACGATGCCCAGTTGCTTCTCAAAATACCTGAAAATATTATGAAACTAGCTTTGTTAATTCTTACTCAAACATATTCATATTTGTGGTGACAGGAGTCTAAATCCCTCCTGTTGTAAAATTGCAGCAAGGTGTAACCCAACACCAGTTACCATGTGACAGACGTCTGGTTCTGGTGATGGACCTTTTGTATTTGGAACGGAAGAAGAAACAGCAAAAACAATGTTTTCCTTCAGTAAACATAATTATTTTACATACATGTATAAATCAAACCTACAAAATGTAATATTATCAAATATGAATGTGACAGTTTTTCTATCAGGCCTTTTGTTTCAATATACGGTTGAGATTATGTCCTGCTTACCTTAATTGTATTTCCTTTGCACAGAAGTTGAGCCTATCATAGTCTGAAAATAGTTTAGAAAAACATGATTTTAATAAACCTGTTGTTCAATGTATATAAATCCTTGACTTTGCTGGACAAAGAAATGCAATAAATGCACACTTTTTGTAAAATTAGAATAAAACAGCTTTAAACTTAGACATAGCGAAACCTATTTAGTAAACCATCACCAAAAACTACCAGTAGTAGCTTTCATTGATTACCACTGTTATGCATCAATTTTCAAAACATTTATGACCATTATTCCCAACACAAAACTGCACGCAACTAGTTATGAGTTCTGCTTGATGAAGACAAGTCATACCATGCACCACGTACACTGTAATATTACACACCCAGTCCAAACTCCCCTACTGCCACCACTTTGCTCCTGTTGTTCTCGACCAGCTCTGTAAGCTTCTCCAGATAGGAATCAGGGTCTGACTCTTCGAATTCTCCACATCTGGTGGGGTGGCAGCCGACTGTACAATACAGGGCATCTACAACAAAAAATTGAACATGTCATATATCCATGAAATTATTGTAAATTCATTTTTGTGGATTTCTTATTTCAATCATTATTGTAAATTTCTTGCTGATTCTTTATACACATTTTCCTACTGCCTCTCATAGTCATACTAAGGCAATAGACATGTAACACGTTCTGCATATAACGGGAAATTGAAGACTGGAGATGAGATAATCTTTTCTGGGACCTTTGAGCTAATTTCCTGTCAATGCATCCATATGGCAACATCTTTCCTACTGTTGCCACTTCAAAAAATATTACTTCAAAGCTTTGGATTACCTAAAGTTTAACATTTTATGTTGGCCAGCTGCTAGCTACATCCTTGACATAAAAATTTCATCCTCTTGGTCTTACCATTTTTTTTTGCAAGTTCAAGTGCCTCCCTGCTGTCCTGAAGGCTCCCACCGGTCACCATGATCTGTCAAGGATTACAGGCATTATTTGATTTTCATGCATGCAGCATCACATATTAAAATAAAAGAAGCAACTTGACAGCTTTGAACATCTTCATTCTACAGATACTACATTTATATGCAATAATGGCAGGAGGCCATCACAATTGACATCAGGTTTAATACTACTGTAACTGTACAGTATTTTTGAACACATTATGTTATATTGAAAATTTATTAACGTCTTGCAAATTGTCTTTTCAATTACCCTTTCAACTCCATTGTTGAAGGCACGTTCAAGGACATCTTGTAGGTCATCTGGAGGGAGCAAAATCCAACACTGTCCATTCACTTGATTTATACAAATTACATAGCAATAGATGGGACCCCAGAAAGTGCGAAATGGAACGAAATGGAACGAAATGGAACGAAATGGAACGAAATGGAACGAAATGAAACAAAATATGTATGAAGGAAAGCCGTTAAGCCATTTGTGCGTTGGAACGGCGATGCTAGTGTCCGCTTGACGTCCAAATGGCTTAGAACCGCAACGTTTAAGATCGATCAGGGTATGTTAATGATAAAGTGACCGCAACGTTATAAGATGGATCAGGGTACGTTAAGAATTAAGTGACCACAACGTTATAAGGTACGTTATAAAACAATTGAGTTTTGAGGTGAGCAGTCAAAGTGTGCTTCTTTGTGGCCTCTGTCTGTCCTAGCGGTATGCCCAGGAGGAGGAATTTTATCACCAGCCGCGTCCCTTACATGTGCACGATGAAATGAAATAGATAGCAAAAACGCACTAACGTTGCCGTTCCAACGTACTTCATACATATTTAGTTTCATTTTGTTCCATTTTGTTCCATTTTGTCCATTTCGTTCCATTTCGCACTTTCTGTGCACCACAATAGATTGCATATACAGAGAAAACTTATTCTAGTAACGTTATCTATTCAAATACATTGGGGTTGAATTTCATCACATAGAAACACTGTATGGAACTGAAAGGAGTTTTTTTCATTTACATCTCTAAGTGATATAACATTTACCCGCATTTGTGACTTGACCTATAATAACTATGTTTATGTTATAGATCCATGATTTTAGTATGAACGCACAATTTTATTCATGTTGGACATATGACATGATGTCAATTTCTTTTCATTGACAAGTTCTTCACTTTGGCATTTTCAAAACAGTCCTGAAGCCGAGTTGGAACTTTATTATAATTTATAAATGGCTATTATATGATAGTGAGCAATCATAAATAAGGAGAATAAGATTGTTGTTTACCCTGGTGCTTCTGTGATCCATGGTACAATCCTCTGAACATTCCATCTGAGAAAAAATCTCTTGTCAACAGCAGAATGGAATATCATATTTCAATATAATTTCAGTCAGAATAGACAAATTCAGTGAAAATACCAACGCTGCTGCAGAAAATTCACATAATTTCACAATATAACACAAGGATCTTTTAGTATGACTGCATATCGAGGCTATGTATGCGTGGCCCTACAGCATATTGAACAGCGGTATAAAGTATCTGATTTCTCTGTTACACAAACATAAC